GCTCAACCTGCACGGGTACTACTGACTTATTAGTGTACTTGTCTCCGTGATTTCGGTTATAAAAGTTTATAATATGACTACCAGGCAAAGATGTCCAGGTTTTTCTGGTGAAGAAAAAAATATTGATTGCGACTGTTTGTGCAAAGTACAAGCACATTCTGGAAAAAAAAACRCCATGTTTCAAATGAAGCAAAAACTGAAATTTGGGAGAAAATAGCCACCGAAGTYAATGCTACAGCAGTAAATGCAACGTACAGAACTTCGGAGGCATTAAAGAGGTTTTATGAAAACCGAAAAAGGGAGGTGCGGAAATTAGCAGCAGAAGAAAAACATCAGGTTTTTGCCACTGGAGGAGGACCTTGCAAGATTCTAAAAAAAAAGATGCATGCCAAGACATCATTGTTTCTGTCATGAATCAAAAAACGATTTATGGACTTCAWAATGAGTTTGATGGTGATGTAGAACCAATAATTGAAGTAAGTATAATATTTTATTGTAATATTAATACGTAGKTAGAGTAAAGCAAAACTTARACCACACGTTTTAAAATAAACGAGTTGCCAAAGATACTTGGTACACTGCTTTTTTTTAATAGGACCCGAGTAATGAAGAAATTAAGATTCATGGTGCAATTGGAAATATTGAAGAAAATGCCCTAGCTAATGATAATATGGATTTGCAAGGTCATGTTGTGTATGAATGAACAGGTAATCTTACAATACCATAATATTAAAATTATAACTTAAATGGTTTAACTGTACATTATAATGTGAACATAATTTGTTTAAAAAACATATAGGTAATAATATACAATTCATATTTAGGACGAACATGGAAGAAGTACATGGGGGAAATATGTTCCAGCTGACTTGAAGCAGCCAATTACTATAAATTTGTAAAATCCAAGACCTGGATCTGCAAAACGAAAAAATGATGAAGGTAATAATCAATTATTTATTGAATGGTGTTTGTCCGGTTTAACTTAGTTTAAATTTTAATGTCTATCCAAGCCTTACATATGTATAGCTGGAAATAATGTTTTATATTTTATGTGCATTTTAGCAACAATTGATGGTGCTCATACCCCTCATGCCAAAAGAACAAAATCACTACCCGCTTCGAGACGTCGACCAACAATGCAAATTAAAGCCCTAACAAGGTCTGAAATAGCAGAAAAATATGGCCAACTGCTTGATAAACGGCTAGAAGTAGCAGATTTGCAGAAGAAGAAATTGGAAGATGAATTGTTAACGATTGAAGGTGAAAGAAAGCGAAAATTTCAATTATTAGATTTACAAATTGAAATTGAAAAAAAAACTTAATCATCTTTCACATTAAACTGA